GAAACAAATATTTTTAAATCAAAAATAATGAAAACACAATCTTTTCTTTTTGTAAAAAATAAAGTCCAAAGTGAACATCCTTTTTTTAAAATCAGTGTTTATAAATGAAATTAATTAATTACTTTTATCCAGAACAGTTCTTATTTTACTTAATAATAAATTCTGAACTATAAACTAGAAAACAGACTTGAGAGTTCTGCTAAGAGCTGTCGGAGGAAAAGAATGTGACACCTACACTTTGTACAGTAATGTTTAAAACAAAATAAATCACCTAAGCAAGATGACATAGAATCATTCAAATTTGTCAGAATTACAAATATTTAATATTATTAAAATTTTAAATCCTATCATGAAACCTTTTTGCCTCATTGAAGACTTCATACTTCCAAGCTCATTTCTCATATATATTGGTGTTTTGCAAGTTGACTTTATTCATGTAAAATCAGCAGTCTTCTTTTTCACTTTTCCTCATGAACTGTTTTTTTTTTCTACTTTCGGTTTAAAAGAAATGATCCTGATATAAATTAGTTAATAGTTTACAAGTTAATCTATCTTACACATTGGGCTAATTCTTGCGTAATCAATGCAATCAAATAAATGTTTTCTCATGTTATCTTCCCCCTAACTCCAAAAAACATTACCTGGCCAGCTGCCTGTGTGCTTTCAAGCGAGAAGTGATTTCCTATCCTGACTTCACACCTTTGCGTGCATTAAATAATAAAGGGGCTAATCAGCATGCACTTGTTATAAACCAGCTGTAAACAGAGCAACTAACTGAATCTCGCCACTCTTGGGCATATTTATTTAATTTTGGCAACCAAAAAACAAACAAACAAAAAAACATGGCGCTGGAAAATGGTATACTGCCACGCCATGCTAGCTTGCTTTAGATTTAACACCATCAAACACTTGCACTACGTGTTGAAACCATTTTTGCATGGAGGCCGCCATTGCTGGAACTAAAACTAATACCGAAGTGGATGACGGAAATCGCGGAAAATTCCGGAAAATAAATATGAATATTGCCGAAAAAAAGTTTAGGGTTGGGGATCTAAAATAGGGACGGTCAGGTAATGGGAACCACACATATTTTTTTATTTGGCCTAATAATATTCCATACATGATTGAGCTGTCACCTGATGAACCTTTAATTCTTTTCTATTTTTATTTTTATATGCTTTATATGTATATGAATTATAAGAGTAAATGTAAGTCCAAAAACTTATTTTGTGACATCAATTTCATACCTGTATTTGAGTTGCCTTTTTGAGGATATACCGGGTAGATTATTCAAAGTCGATGTACATGTAGTCTTAGATGCTGCAGTTCTCTTGTACTTTAGCTATAAAATAAATCTTAATGTATACAATTGTGTAAGATGAAAGAATATTACAAACACTGCATGAAACAGACCAAAACTTTAACCAAAATATCCTCTATAATATGCTCTCTAAACTGAAGAATATGGTCATATAATTGCAGTCATATGAATTTTGTTCAATGATAAATGCAGAGAGAATTTGCAGAATATATAAAGAAAGTCTTATCGTTGGGATTGGGAAATAAGCAGGTCTAGTACAATCTCTTAATTTAGCTATATAGCTTGAAATAGCTATTTAGCTTTATTAAGCTATTCAAAATAGCTTGATTTAGCTATGTATATGCAGTTTTTCACAAAAATTATTTTGGTAAGAAATACTGACAAAAAGTTGCATGTATTTGACTATTGAAATTCATATATGTGCTATGGGCTATCGAAACAACAAGCAAAATCAAAGATAGCTCCAACTTTGCAACTTTTGATTACTTTTAAGCAAAAGATAAATTTCTATTATTTGAGTAACTGTCCACTACCTTGTGTGCATTGAGGCATGGATAAGTATGATTGCTTCTCATTGAATGTACTGAATTAATCAATTATCTTGTTGACCATAATTGCATGGCCTCCTTTATAAATTCATTGAAGAAGTAACTTATCAATTGCATATGTAGCCCAAAAACTCTTAGAACTTTGAGTACAAAGTCTCTTTTGTTTCTATTTTCCTAATTATCTCCCCTTGTTTAAGGGTCACAACCCTAGTTTTAGTGTAAACGGAAGCTCTTGGCCCAAGGATACCCTGTGACAAATTTGACAATAATTGGCCAAAGGGTTCTTGAGTTATGGCCCATATTCTAAAAAGTTTACGCACACCGCACAAATGGCCATAGCATTAGCTCTTTGGGCCTTTGGCTCAGAAGAGCTTAAAAAATGAACCTCTTACATTGATTTTTGGTCAATATTTTTTACAGTTTTTTGTATAGTTTTTTGATGAACAATATGTACAGTATTTTCACCCAAATTCCTGTATTTTGAGGACTGCTGTACAGTATTTGGGCCTAAAAATTATCACATGTATGATGTATGCAAGGAGATTTTAATGAGTGAGTTTTAAATGCATCAATTTCAGATGAGTTCAAGGACTTGAAGGTTGAGTATCATCACTGCACCAAGGTGCGACTTTTTGTGCATGCTGAGAAAAGTATAAATTTAAGAAAAAGTGTGATAAAATAGCTAAATTAAGCTATTCTGAACAGCTTAATAAAGCTATATATATAGTAAAATCAAAAGATTCACAGTACTGGACCTGATAAGTGCTTTCAAACATTGAATACTTAAAAAACTAGACCTACTGACATGCAACAGCTAAATTTTTGTTGATAAATGAAGCGTATTCTGAACAAATTATTTACCCAAACAAAGGTGATGCTGTCACAAGATGACGTTCGTACCCATCTGACACTTACACTACTCCTCCTTAATCAGCTGGTAATAACATCATTATCCTCGAATTCAAGAAAAATCTGTTAATAAATTAGTTGGAATGATGATAACAAAACTATTCTAATCAGATACAAATGTATAATATAAGACTTCTATTTCACCCAACAATACCCAAGAAGCAGGTGACATTCTCTGACTTGTTTACCTGTACTTCGATCGAAATTCTCCTCCTACTTGCTCGCACCCAAGCTTTTATGACCCTCAATTTATCCATCGTAAGTCGGAGAATCCTTCGGCTTTGTACAACTGCTTAAACTTTCCTTATACGCTTTGTGTAAACCATAAACATGCATAACCCAATACACATCTCCATGTGTGAGGTACCTGGAACTTAATATTATCGAAAAATCTCGCGAGTCACGTGACGAGACTTACAGACCCTAACGCAGCCCGAATTTGCTTGGTTCCAATGAAAATCTAGATAATCTTGAGGAAGGGAGCATTCATTATTTGTTGTTGTAAGAAATGCGAATAGGTGATATCACCTATTCGAATAGGTGATATCACTCATTCAAATTGAATAGGTGATATCACTTATTCGAATAGGTGATATCACTTATTCGAATAGGTGATATCACCTATTCAGCACGAATAGGTGATATCACCTATTCGAATAGGTGATATCACCTATTCATTTCGAATAGGTGATATCACCTATTCGAATAAGTGATAACACCCATTCGAATAAGTGATATCACCTATTCGAATAGGTGATATCACCTATTCGAATAGGTGATATCACCTATTCAATTTGAATGAGTGATATCACCTATTCGAATAGGTGATATCACCTATTCGAATAGGTGATATCACTTATTCGAATAGGTGATATCACTTTTTGGCAGTAAATACCAAAACGGCGCCTCATACAAGTCTGTGCTATTTAGCATATGCACTGTTTGTCTTAAGACATAACAAATACCAGTGTTAAAGTTCACTTGACCTTTGACCTACTTTTCAAAAGTACTCCAAATGGTTATTTTATCTTATTATCTTCTGAATTTTGAGACACAGGGCATAGCTAACTATCATGTATATTACATGTTTATGAGCTCATAACATTGTATTTTTAAAGTGTATGATATAAAGTTAACACACAAACTGAAATGCTATGAAAATACATTGGGATCAGCATCAAAATGGATTGTACTCTAGTCTACCACTGTCTTCAAATAACATAGTAGACCAATAATTGCAGTAAAGACAGACTGAAATCTCTTTCCAATTAATGAAGGTCGAATTAAACATGCAAAAATAAAATATGTATATTTTAAACAATTATTTCTAATAATTTCTATTTCATTATTCATTTTAGCTTTGAGGAATCATATTTGTATTTGATTGTTCTATCACAGTTTTAATATCCCTGGATACTTTTTTCTTTCCAGGCAAATGCATGGACTGTAATACTAGTATGCAAATAAATAGCTGCCCACTCTTTAAATCTTTAATGATGCTATAGCAGGTGACACATGCATTCCATGGAACACTCTTGTTGAACAACTTTTATAACCACCTTTGACTTTGGCCATATCTTCTAAATGGTTGGTGGTAGGGTTTCCATACTTCACATGTGTATTCCTTGTGATGAAACCTTTCTTTGAGTACAAACATTTTTTTTTAAATTTTACCTCTTGTCCTTGACCTTTGAGTTTCAGTTACTTTTTAAAAAAGTTTAACCTTGCCCTTAACTTTTGAACCGTTTGTACATTGTAATAGGTCTTCCATATTTCATATGTATATTCCTGTGATAAGACCTTTCTTAGGATACCAACATTTTGACCTCTTTACCTTTGCGATTCACCTACTTTTAACAAAAATTTAACTTTGACCATGAGCTGTCATACTGTGATATAAATGTTTCATAAATACATCTTTTGTAAAGAAATACAGATATTGCATATGGTACATGTGTAGAGAACAAATAATGGAGTTAATCTTGTTTTTCTTAGCATGAGAGTAGAATCAATTGATTTCACAGCAAAATTCACATGGAATTCTTTAATGCATGTATTTTTAAAACTTAACTTACAATTCTCAGTAAAATAATATCAATTTGATTTGCTACTTTGTTGTCCTTGGTAACAAAATAAACCTTAATTATAAAACAGGAATTCAATGCATATGTGATTAATAATAGACGATTCTGCTTTCACCATCTAAATAACAAATTCACATATTCTAGTTTTATCTTGTTTTATTTCATTAACAAAATCAACAAATTCATGAAATGATTGTGTGTACATAGTAAAAAAACAGATCCTGCTTTAAACCTGTTCATATGGCTACATACTCATTCATTCACTTCCAACAATAAAATTCTGTCACACGATATCATATCACACTGTCTACCTAAAACTCTATTTTATACATGCAAGGCCAAGTCCAATGCATTCACATCAGGGAAACGGTGTAATGACATTTTTTAATTCAACCAAAATTCTTAGTCAAAGTGAATTTATAAATTTCCACAGGGTGAAAAAAATCACTTGACAAAACTCTACATCCAGACATTTTTCATGTATATCTGGCAAGTTAAATGGTATTTTAATCCACCTACATGTACAGTTTGTAATTCTGTTTAATATCACAGACTCTTTTATTCATTCATCAGTATGCAAACTGTCCAATACAAATGTAAAATTTCCTTCATATGGTACTTCTGCACTTTGAAATTATTACTAAATAGTATCATCAGGTGATTTTCCTTGTTAAGATCTATTGAAAACAACTGCCAAGACAGCAACATGAAAGCTTCCCAATTCCTTCTCCTCATCATACAGACAATGCCCAAATTTCCAATTGTACGTATATGTTATAAAGAAAGTAAACACATACTTCAGAAATAAATGTCTTTGCAGTGATTAATGTGTAGATTTTCTTAGATTTAGGGATATAAAGTATACCTCTTTTGCAGTCTACCCTAACTTTTCTTAATTACAGATTACATCATGCATATATTTAAATCTTGACAATGAAATACTGTAGATCATTTTATTTTCGCGACACCTTATTTTCGCGAGATAGTTATTTGGTATTTATGAGCGAGACAAAATTTTCACGAGCTCACTCTTTGTTGTATATAATCTTTAACAATACAAATATACGCGAGAATAAAATTTTCGCGAGCAGACAGACTCGCGTAATTACACGAAAATAAAGTTCTCGCGAATAAAAAGTGATTTACAGTACACATGTACCTGTAGAGCAGTGCTTCATTCAAATCCACTTCTTTTATTTATAATACAGTTTCTGCATGGGACATGTGTAAGCTCGAAAAGCCATATACATATTTATCTGAATCATCTTTATGATCAACATCACAACAATCACTAATGCACGAACATGTATTTCAATTAACACCACGTCATAAGAATTAAACAAAATCTTCTGCACAGTTTTTAAGCACCTTCAACACTAGTAATCTCTAAATTGAAATGAAATACATTTTGTACATGCAGATGGTACTGAGAAATTATTGCATTAAGACTTGAAGGGCAAGTTTCATCTAAATAAAAATTGATACAATTTATATAGTTCAAGAATATGCAAATCATTACAACCCACTTAAAGTACTGAAAGTTAACAGAGCACTTGTTTACAAAGCAAACTTAAAGAAAAAAAACTTATTTTGAAATAGAAATGTACTTGTACATATGGATTTACATTTATATGCCGATTGTTGGAGATAATGAACAATGTATGTACATGTATGTATTGTATTTTGTAGCTTTACGATACACACTGCAGACACACAAGGGAATATTTCTGGGAGTACAGCAATAAATACATGAATAAATATATGCACCTAAGAAACAGAAGAGCTCTTTTTGCCTTTGCTTGAATGCTTGTCACTAAATGTTTGTGATGGTCCTTTTGTGTCCCCACCCTCCTCCTCTGGTGATTTTTCTATATTTAGAGCTTTCAGGATCTTGTTTACCAGAGTATTATCCACTGCTTGGGGTCCTGTAAATTAAACAAAATAATTCTGTAAACAAAAATTTTACGACATTTTTAAATTTGCTATTGAATCATTGTCATGGAATTTTGTGTATTTCATTATGAAGTTTAGTTTATGGGTAAAACCAAATTTTTCAAAGGAAATATTGTCAATTTCGCTAGTACTATTTGTCTAGTACTTTTAAATAACAAATGAAAAAGATATACATATCTGCTTCTAAGAGTGAACTGAAGAAGTTTTAAGATTTTGATGAAGAACCAAAGTGTGGCTACAAATGTACAGTGTGTGTCAAAAGTCTATTCATCATTGATGCAGACTGACCTCTAAATAATGTAAATAAATTAAAATCCTAGGTGGCATCTTCATCATCCAAATATTCTCCTTTTTATTTTACCCAGAATGCCTTCATCATCCTCATCATCATTATTAACAGAGCCACTAGTTGGTCTTTCTGAATTTTGAGTCTTTCCCTCTGAAACAGAATCAGAGGCAAAATGTTTCAATTTTCTTTCTAGCAGTACACAGACTCATTACTTGCTGATGATGAAAATTCCACTAGGGTTCTTAACACAAATCTATTCCCTTTTTACTCCATTACTTGAACTTGTTTCTTTAATCCAAAGGGAATTCAAAGAAACACCCTTGGAAAGAAACTCTTTTTTTATAACACAAATGAAAAATTAAATAATCTAAAGAAATAATGGAACAGGGTAGTTTTGGGGGAGATTTGTTTTTAGTCTGTCTCCTACCTTTCTTAGTATTCACTATTCCCTCCACAGTACCATTAACTTCTTTGTCTAGTTCTGCATAAGCTGTGATTATAGCCCTCTGTTCTTGTGTCAGAGATCTAAATATGGTATGAAAGCATTTATCCTTTATTATATGCATAGCATACTAACAACTCATTTTTTTCTTTATTGTGTACATGATACTTCATGTATTTTAATAGACTGTAAAATACTGTTTTAAATTTATTTTTCAAAATTTTTTTTACTTACTTTGGAATTTTAATCTTGAAATGAACATAATGGTCACCATAACCATAACTATTGACCCTGGTAATCCCTTTCCCAGAAATGCGTATCCTGTCATGGGACTGAGTGCCAGCTGGAATCTGAAATTTTGTGAAATAAAAATCTCTTCACAGCTTTAGTACAATTACAGTCTAGACTTTCACTAGACAGTGACAAACTTGGACTTATAACTCCTCGATTCAGGTTATAATAATCTTATGAACATGAATGTATTCCACAAATTACAGCTTAAGTTGTTTCCACTGAAATCCAGTGAAACTAAAACAACTATCCTGTTCCATGGATGCAAAATTGAATCATACAGAAACTGACTGAGATTCAACCTCTTTATTTAGTTACTTGGACTCAAGAAAACCACCAACAAATCCTGAATAACCTTGCCCTTACCTTGAGGTGTATTTCTTCATACACTCCAGGTATCCTCACCGTCCCTCCCAGGACTGCTTGTGAAAGACTAATGGACACGTCTGAATGGACGTCAGCTCCTTCTCGACGGAACTGATTACTCTTGGCAACCTGAAATGACAATCAAGACCTTGAACCTCCTATAAAATATCACAAACAGTTCTTAAAAAGTATGTAAAATACTTCCCACAAATTACGTCTAATTCTTACAGATTTTGTGACCTAAGAGATGCAGTAAAACAGAATATGTAGTTTTATACCAAATCTTCCAAAACGTTGCATGATTTACATTGTAAATAAGCATTTCTGATAAGCTTTGATTTCCAGTTTTGACTCGCTCTCTGAACAAAATCCAACAAATTATGCAATTAAGTTTCTACTATTTCTGAATGATAAAGTCCTGCCCAGACAAGAATATTACACTGTTCACCTTGTCAGGGTTATGAAATACCCACTGATGATTAGCAATCTTAATGCAAGCATGAACTTCTCCATTTATCTTTTTTAATAGCAATGTTTTGGTAATGTTATGAAGGGGAATGGCTGGATACACAGCCAGAGTGATTCCTATTCACCCAACAAATTTTATTTGCAGAGTATAAAAATTTCCCACATACAGTATATTTTTGATTATTGATAGTCTAGATTTCTCTCATCCAAAATACCAATACCCAGTAATATTGGTATTTATCCGGGATAATGAATTTATTCCCTATGTAACTAAATAAATTCTCAGTAAACCCAAGTTCAATCAATGGTGTTTCAAACTATTGAAAAATTTTACTACATGCTACAATGCATCGTGACGTCATGTTATTTGTTTTTTGTGATAGAAAAACTACGTATTGTGATGTCACGTTATTTACCCCTGGCTCAAGCCGGTATACGGAAATTTATACCCGGTTTGCTAACCCATCAAATCTTGTGTTACTAGCTAGATAGGAAATAAATATGTTTAACTCTACAGTAGATGTGTACCACAAAATAGCAGTAAGAATACTTTTTATTACTCACCTGTAACGTAACAAATAATTCCTGTTTTCCCACCTTCATTCTCAGTGTCTGACCATGCTCCACACCTGTGAAGTAAAATTAAACGTGTATCACAAATGTATACAGTATTTCTGTTAATGCAATTAATTAAGCATCACCTATAAATGTTAGTAAGGAATGTCTAACAGTAACTAATTTTATTCAGTTTGAAAGATGCTTATGTTTTTTTTTGTATAAGCAAATGTACTGGGGCATTATTGTTTTATCTTTTGACATTTCAAAGATCATTCATATCCTTTACACAGAGCACTCAGTTTGTGAGGTAGGAACTAGATTTGCACAAAGGGGCAAAAAATATACATCATACAGTCTGATCACTTTTGGGCATCAACAGTGCAAAGCCCTTACAATTCAACCTCAGAACCCTTTGAAAACAAGCAATATTTTTCCACAGCTTATGTTAAAATTGGTATCATTTCAGAGCAATTTGACATTTTTGATTTTCATCTTCATCTAAAAAAAAATTTAACTAGAACTGTCCAAAAGGGACAAATACCCCCCACTGGGTTTTTCAGAGAAGGTACCAAATCACTAATGTTTTCTAGATGTGAGAGGTGTTCACAATTTGCTTAAACATTTAGAGTGAAAATTTAATTACTCATTATATTTTTTTTAATGAATGAAACTAAGGTGCAGCCTAATAAAACATCAATACTAATAATTACAGTGTTTTTTATTACATTGAAAAAATAGTTTGCAACTATCTGTCATCTTTGTGAGACATGACACTCTGCAAATTGATTGTTGAAAAAAAAATTATCATAATTAACTATACAAAATCAAATTGATCTTAATACCTTTATATCACACTCATTTTAAAAATAAAAGGCTGGTTCCAGTAACTATGTATTTTGACAGACATAAATTACAATTAAGAGACTTAGACAACAGAGATCTTCATTTCTTTCTGCCCAATTCCCAGGAGATATAGATAATACCTGCTTGATCAGAGATGCCCTAACAGCTTCCCACACTGAACTCATTAATTAATCTTTAACTGGATGCATGTCCACTCATTACTCCCAAGGGACAAATGGATTTACACTATCTGCTATGTAATGTAAAAACTGTTTTTAATACTTTGTGATTTTTTTTTTTAGTTCTAATGAGTTGTTTTAAGCTGTAGTTCACATTTTTGTACATATGTTCTAGATTCTATGTCTCAAACCTTAGACATGAACCTGAAATGACTAAGTCAATAAAAATTAAAAAAAAACTGTAAAATGCAGAAAAATTATCAAATAATGTTGAAAATACCAGGTGCACATCTTCATATGGTAAATAATAAGTGTACAAATTTTCATACAAATCTATGCAATAGTCTCTGGGAACAGATCTGGACAAAACCACATAATAAAAATGAAAAAAAAAAACACCTGTAAAATGCAAAAAAATTATCCAATCATGATGAAAATATCAGGTGCACACTTTCATATGGCGAATAATAAGTGTACAAATTTTCAGACAAATCCTTGCAACAGTTTGCAAGAAATGGTCTGGACAAAATCTCGTCTACAGACAGACGGACAGACAGACAGACGGACAAGCTGATTCCAATATAGCCCCCCCTAAACTTCGTTTGCGGGGGGGATAATGATACCCAAAGTTTATTTTCAATAGACTAAGTCTGGAAGTAGATTTACCACAATCTTCATCAAATATCTCATCAGTGTATCTGGACTAACCTGCTGGGACAGGGATGTTGACAGTTTTGGGCATTACAACAGAGCCTTTTCCATTACACTCTGTACATTTATGTTTGATGATCTTCCTTCTGCCCTGACACTTTCTACAGGTGGAACGCATCATAAAGGGACCAGTGTTTACAGTTTCCTAAAATTGAGAGAGAGAAAAAAATCGAACAGAAAATATATTTAAAATATGTAGGATACTTTTTTGGTGTGAAAGCAAGATTTACAACAGGTTCATGTACAAAATAAGTCAAGGATGAATCAAGATATAAAAAGAAGAATGGACAAGCATTCTTGCTTATTTCAATGGAATGAAAATGTTCCTATATCAAATCAAAGTAGCAGTCTTCAAATCAAAACAGAGGAAAGGTTGCATCTCCCTTAATAGCCACACAAATCCTCCACATTCTTATAACTTTAATGATTATAATTTTAAATATATTACCAGTCCGGATCCATTACACTGGGGACAAGTTTCTGCTGACGTCCCAGGCTCTGCCCTTCTGCCCATACATTTTGGACATTCGTCGACGACATTCATTTTCATCTGTTTGTTGATGCCTCTGGCTGCCTCCTCAAAAGACAAGTCCAGGTACACCTGTAATTTAACAAGAAATCTGCATATAATATCCAGTTACATCTGTATTTGAATGGGAAATCTTATTTAAAGGGATACCTGCAATTTAAATGGACATCTGCTTAAGAAATCTGGAAAAGTTAAATTATCCATATTTGTCATTTTCACCACAAAGCATAAGAAAACAATTTTATTCATTTTTAAATTTGATCCATGACACTTTTTTCTTCTTTAGTAACTATATGCTAAACAATCCCTTCTTAAAGTTTGCATTGTTTAAAATAAAAGGATGAGAACAAAACAGGCCAGAGAACAATAAGAAATAAAAGTATGTGCTCTTGCAGTTTTCTTTTTTTCTTCAAAACCAAATTTCAAATCAAAAAAAAAAAAAAAAAAATACTTTTGACAGTGAATACCATGTGTGTCTAAATAGCCTTTTCTATATTTAAGACCTGAGTCTTGGAACCTTGAAAAACAAACCTCAGATGCCTGTCCAAATCCAAACTGTGAGCTTTCATAATCTTCACTCTCACCAAAGTTTCTAAAGTTGAAATTATCTCCAAAAATATTTCTAAACAACTCCTCTGGATCCACAGTAGTTCTAAAACCTGATCAACAAAGCATTGCTATCTAAATATTGTTTACAGAGAGAGAATCTATAGTGTTCAAAGGAATAAAGATATCTTACTCAGATATGAAGAAAACATCTTTTATAATAAAAGTCCTATACCTCCTTGACCTCCATAAGCTCCCCCAAAGCCTTGGAATCCAGGGCCACCACCAGCTGACTGGGGACCAGCTTGTCCAAATGTGTCATACTGTTTTCTTTTTGAATCATCACTCAACACCTAATACAAAAGGAAATATATGTATTATCTGTCTTACTACTTTCTTCAAAATTCTTCTTATTCAAGATTAGGATATTTTATGTGATCAAGTAGCCACAGTTAGGAGAGAGCTATATATGGACTCTGGACCATGGCTTGACACACTGTTGTCCCTGTGTTACAACTTTTACTTTAGGTACTTTTAACCTCAAATGGCACCCTTACTTTTAACCTATTTATATTTTTAATAACATACCTCATAGGCTTCTGCCACCTCTTGAAATTTCTTTGCAGCCTCTTTGTTGTCTTTGTTAACATCTGGATGATATTTCTTGGCCAGCTGAAATCATATTTCACAAATGCTTACTATATGGTTAAAGGTGTGCTTCTATTATAAGAATGCCTAATTTGAAACATTCCTATTAAAAGATGACCACTTTCAATATACACTTTGCCTAGTCTTTACAAGGGCAAATTAGCCTTTTCTTAATTTAAATTGTGGCTGAGTTTATTGCCTTATGTGTAGTCTACACTGAAGTCAATATGAATACATACTTAAAAAAAGAACAGCTATGTCAAATGCTACTCATTATTTAACCTTGTAATAAGCCTTCTTGATTTCCTTCTGATCAGCAGTCTTAGGTATTCCTAATATCTTGTAGTAGTCTTCTTTGAAGTTCAATGTGGAGGTGTGAAATGGTTTTCTTTCAAGAAATGCAATCCTATGTGGGCTCACTGCAGCAGAACCATTTAAATAACTAATGTTACATGAGTTTATACACTGTACAATACTTCAGATACCTGTGGTTTCAATTAATATTTTCTAGAAAGTAGCTATGTGCACATAGACAGTTCCAAGTGTCATCATGCTAGATGAATTTGAAGAAAGAAAAGAGGTTGAGAAAAGTTTTTCCTATTTATCAATTTACTTTTAGGGTAGAAGGCACATGTATGCAAGCTTAAAATGGTTTGATGTGATTAATTTGGTTATTAAAATTGTATTTTCAAAAATCATACTGGAACTGATAGCTCACATTTGCTACAAGGAAACTCATTGGGACATACTCTGACTGTGGTAAAGGCCTGTCTGAGACACAATTAATTTATCAACATATAACCCATCTATCATCTAGAATATTCTAGATGAAAATTATGAACGATACTTGACTGGACTAAAATATTCAATGAAAAATGTAATTTTACTGTGTTAGAGCATTTGATTTCTGCTTCTCTCTACATGAATCAAATTGTCATATCAAAACCAATGTAAAATCAATGTCCTTGGCAGAGTTTAAAGATTATGTAACCTGTTATGCATTCCTATTATCATTATTCAATTGAGATAATGAAGATTTTAACTATATTAACAAATATCATATATTTTCTTTCGATTTTTTTTTTCAAAAAGACTTCAAATGACATGTTCAAACTGCATGGATATATTAAATTCATGTGACGCAATAAACATGATAACACCACTACGGCCACTGGTTCAATTTTTCAATACATTCTCACCTCTGGGTTTATCCTGAGACTGATGCAATTTAGAGAAAGTCGAAGAAGCACAAACTGAAAGGGTGCCAACATTTTCAACCGAAATGTTGAGAAGCAAGCTATTGTTCTCAGACAAACCGAGTTTTTTCAAGGGCCACCTACGGCATGCCTGTCTGAGGGTCGCCATGCTGTTTCAATGTCACACAAATGGGATGAAAATCTCACTTCCGAAAACCATTGACTAAAAATGGTTTGAAATTCTTATTTATTTTTACTTAAATTAAATTTCCAATTATGCAACTTTAAAATATAAAGTGTAGATTGTATGACTTTTTCAGTATTAATTTGATGAATTTAGTAAAATCCGAATGTCTCTTCGGTTCTCTACAAGATACAATAAAATATAAAACCCAACCCGGAAACAAAAGTTGAGGAAACAGGAACAGCGAAAGAGGGGATTCTGATATTACTTAGTACTTAGCTAGAATTTACAAGATCAGAGTTGTGAAAAATGATATTATAATCTCAGTTACAATATATTTCAATCAATAAGGTAATTACCTTTGATCCAAGCGTCAAAGTTGCGAAGAAACACACTGCATCGTACCCGCCCACTTACTCGAATTTCCTCGAAGATAGTTTATGAAAGCATCTCGTTTCGACAGATTTTCTTTATTTCAGATAAAATTGTCATCTCAGGTAGCAGGATGGCCTGGCGATTTAAGGCTTCAAAGTATAAAAATGCTGCCCCAAGGGTAGTTAAAAAAGAGGTATTTTTTAAATTGAAGTATATTTTGATACGGGCCAGGGTATATGTGTGTAGTATGTGGAAAGAAGGAATGAATGAACATTCTTTTAACATTCATAAATACATATATAATTAAAATCATATGGCTGGACCGGGAATCGAACCTGGGACTTCTGCATTACTAGTCAGATCCTATAACCACTGAGCTACCAGGCCGGTATCCACAGTCCAGCCTAAATTACTTCATGCACAATTATTATTAAAATCATAGCTCTATGTCTGATTGATGTATAAAAACACCCCCTCCCCCCAAAAAATGCCAAACACCCACAGCTTGATGTACAGCAACAATAAAGATGAAATGTTCAAATAAACCCACAAAATATATATACACTAATAAATGTACTTCTTTTTTTCTATAGTATTGACAAGTTATTGAAATTGAATAAAATTGAAAATATATACCAAATTTTCTCATTCTACATCATACCTTTTATCCAGGAATGGATTGGGGATATTTCCGCAGGTAATCTTATGCAGTGCTGTGGTAACCACATTAAAGCTGGGTGCATCTATATGACATTTAATGTTGATTCATCAGGCAAGTTTGTTTGATATTCAGTAACATCAATGTAATAGAATAAAACTAAACAAATTTGTATTAAATTTTTGTGTTCTTTAAAACAAAACAACAAAAATAATTGGCACTTGTGATTTTGGAATTGTAAATTTATTACAGTTTTGAATTTCTGATTTTTTGTTTGTTTGTTTATTTATGGAGATCGAGTAATCTTTTTTAAAATTTAATTTTCAGGGGGAGGTAACCTGGGCTTGTTGCCTGTAAGTAGCACAGGAAGGCTTGTGAATGGTTTACCGTTGTTGCCAGCTCATGGTGGTCAGTTAACTTACTGCATGAGAGCAAAGTCAAGTGATGAAAGCAGCTTAAAAAATGTCAATATATTTAAAGATTTCAGAATGATTAATACGAAGAGTTTTAGACCTGTATGTTTCATTACCAGTACATACAAAGCATGTCAACATTTCCGTGGTTTAAAAAAGTAAAAGCATGTTTTAGAGATAGAAATTTTTTCATTGCAATTTTGGATTTGGAGTTTATTGTGAAAATGAAAGTTACAGAAATAGGAATAATATATATTTTTAGAGGTGTTGTTTTGCATTTGTTTTTATTTATGCATGAATTTCCATGTGGTTTTGCATAATTTTAACACATTTTATCCATGTTTTCATGCAGAATCAAGCATTAGTTTTAAAGTGATATCAGGGTTTTTGTCATTTCTGAACGGATTTATATTTTCAGATTTTGTGACAGACTTTGAGTTTTCTCCCTTTGATGATTATCTCTTGGCCACAGGATCGTCTGATAACTCAGTGAGTTTTATTCCCTAGAAGTGGTAAAAAATAAGAGACTGTAATTAAAAAAAAAATAAATTGAAAATAATTAATTGAATAGAAATTTTTACCTTTTGTTGATTCTAAATTGAGAAAAATTTGTCTTATAGGGTTTGCATTTTATAAACACATACTTATTGCCCAGTAATTGATTACTGCAAGTTTAAAACGTTTTTGTAAAAAATTAATGAAGTCACAATTAAGCTATGGTATGGGAGTATGGGAAAGGATGTGTATTACTGTATAAATTATTTCTCTCTGAAGGTTAAGGTATGGCTATTGCCAGAGGAATCCAAACTTGATGAGTTGTCTACCTTGAACCCTGTGGTGGTTGTGCCGAAACTGAATCATAAGATAGAGAACATCACTTGGAACCCAGTAGCAGAGGCTGTGTTGACTTTCACCAGTCATGACTGCGTCTCTCTGTATGATGTCACAAATCAGGAGGAAAAAATTTGTATGTTAACATATCCTTACTAAGAAGAATTATGTGAGAGAGAGAGAGAGAATTCTTCAAAACTTTGAGAAGGAATCTTTAATTAGTCACAAAAAAATCAAAAGCCGTACTAAAAGAAGTCAAAACATGATGCAAGAAAGGCTTTAAAAACTCCATAAATAATATAGGCAGAAACATGAGAACCCTTTAGAAATAATTTTATTTTTAAAAATTGAAGTGTTATGCTGAGTAGTAAATACAGTTGAACTTCGGTATCTCGAACATGGATATCTCAAATACCATGGATATGTTGAAGTGATTGGAAAGTCCTAACCACGCATTTCTTAAGTATTTTACCCTCGGATATGTCGAAGTTTTTTCTCGGTCCTATTGAGATTGAGAAGTTTGACTGTACTTGTATATTCACAGCAATCTCTGATCACAAGGACCAGATACAGAGCATTAGCTGGCGAGGAAATGGACAGGTGTTTGTGACGTCATGCAAAGATAAGCTCCTCAGAATAATTGACCCAAGGGCCAGTTCTGTTGTACAGGTATATTTCCTAATTAATATAATGCACAAGTGCCTCGTATTAGCAAAACAACTTTGTTCAGTTTAAACATAGCAAACTGGTTTCTAGGGCAATTACAGCAATAATTTCTCAGTATATATGTATATAGTGCATATATCATGTCATTGAGTATATGTAAAATGTATGTACATGTACAGTATATGATCAAATGCTTTCAGTACTGATTTAGTGTTGAGTGGTTATTAGTATTGAATATCTATGATTTTTAATTGTATTGAAAAAAAATTGTATGTAAAATTGTATGTAAAAAAAGATATGTGAAATTCTTGAAAGATGTTATATAAAAATGTAAATAATACATGTATGTTTTCTACTTTTATTTTTTTTTTCCTGCAGGAAACTCAGGGTCATGATAATATAAGAGATTCACGTGCTCTGTGGTTGGGTGATAAAGACATGATATGTACAACTGGTTTTAGCAGGGTAAGATTTGTAACAAAGTGTTTCATAGTTTACATGTTAGATTTTAGCTTATCTGAGCCAAAAGTTCAAGTGAACATTACCATTCAAATTTTGCTGATTGGTATAAGTACACCATATGTACCGTACAGTGTATGTTTGGCATAGTTTTTTTTACATTAATTACACATGTACTACCTACTTTTTGAGAACCCCTGGGCATTTTTTAAATCAAATTTAGGCACATAGTAAACTCCAGTAACAGGAACTTTATTTCTGAGTTTCTGTATTGGGGACCAAATTTGAAGATAGTTACATAGTACACAGAAACATTAAACTGTAATTAGCTGATCCTATTCTTGTTTTAAATCAATGTCCCTGTTGTTCTTTTTTGTAGTCCAGAGAGAGGGAGGTCAAGTTGTGGGACCTCAGAAATTTCTCCTCTTCAGTCTCCACACTGGGCATTGATTCTTCTACTGGGTTTGTATCCATACATAGTACAGCATACAATGTTTTCTCTCTGTTTTGATTAGTTAACTATTTTGGTAAGATAGTTACATTGTAGATTACATCTACTATCTTTCAATTTTGAGTGAATTTTTTACTTTCAGAACATTGATTCCATTATATGATGCTGATACTGGTATGGTCTTCTTATCTGGAAAGGTAAAGAAAAAAGTCAGAAACTAAGGAACAAGCTACATGTTACATATGAATCATTTATTTATTTTGGCAAGGCAAAGGCATTAAGTTAATTTACGATATATAATTTTGCATATTGTCCACAATGTAAGAAATAAGCATTACATCTGTTATCATTGTCAACAAATTCCTTTTTCATGAATGAAATATTATTTTAAATACAGTATCTGAAGCAGTGTTGCTAATTGTAGCTTTTTACCACATATACATGTATTTTGCTTGCTGGGAAGGAATATATTAATTTTCCCTCTCAATTTCTTTCAATTATTGTTATAACTGGGCACGACAATTGAATCATAGTTTGTGTTATTCGTTGAATTCGTGTTATTTGTAGGGTGACAGTAATGTTAGATATTATGAAATATCAGAAAAAAATTCGTCCCTCACGGAAAGTAAGTTACACATTCTACTTCATTTACATGTGTGTACAGAAATAGTAAAGCCATTATGTAAGTCAAGTCACTTGAAGCTTAAAATTACAACAAGGCCTTTTTGTAAGAATTAATTGTATTGAAAAAAACTCAGTGTTTTATAAATTTGTTACCAATTAGTCTTTGATATTTAAGACAATGTGACCAGGACAGAGCAAGTGAAGGGTATTGGCATGGTGCCAAAGAGGGCGTTAAATGTCATGGAAGGGGAGGTTAATCGGTTACTGATACTGACCAAACAGGCTGTTATTCCAGTGCCCTACATTGTACCCAGAAAGGTAGGAATTCTATAGTGAGGCAAGGAATTGAAAGGAATAGGAAATGGGGTTAATGTCAACCCAGAAGTGAAAAATTAGTGTTGGAAGAAGATAGGGAGAAAATGTAATGGGGAAAAATGAAATTTTTATGTCCATATTTCACTATACCTAATTGATACATGTATTTCATTAGTTTGAAGTTCTGAATGACAAAATATGCTTTAGTAATAAGCAGCTCTTACCTTTATTTGTATTTGGTGTACTAGTAAGCATGTTGTACTGTAAATTGATGAAGAAAAGTTGTACCATTGTACTTGAATTGTTCTTTTTTTTTTTTTTTGCAGAATTATCTGGAATTCCATGATGACATATTTCCTGACACTCTTTCTGATGAGCCTGGTTTGAATGCAAGTGAATGGTTCTCTGGTGCCAATGGACAGGTATAGAATTTTAAAACACAATGTAATCACCATGAAATTATTATACTTTTATGTCTCGATCCATTTCACCTGATGTTTGGAGTACACAAAGAATTTTAAGATTTTAAAAATCTTTTTAACAGAGGAAATTAGTAAGTTTGAATCCACAAAGAAAGGCAGCTGTAGGGAGTAGGAGGGGACTAGGATTACAGCCTAGTCCTATAAAGGAAGGAGTAGGAGGAGCTAGTGTAAATAGAACCAACCAATCAGGGGGGAGTACCAAAGTGTCAAACCCAAGTCACCAGGTAACTTACAGTTATAATAACTAAGGTAGACTAAAATTTTAGTGAGGTTCAGTTGAGATATTTTGACTGATCTTTTAATGAATAAAGACAATAAATCGAATACCATATTTGTTGACCATTTTCTCGGTACTTTGGAAATTTTGTGATTGTTTTGAAAATTGTACAAAAACATATACAGTATAAATGCTACAGTACATAATGCTAAGCACTATAAGAGATAATGAAAATTTATTTGAGGCATTTTAATTATATGTATTATAATGCAGGGGAAAAAAAACTGAGACCCATAAAAATTAGAAAAACGAGAATCTTTACAGACAGAAACTCCAAAGAAAAGTCCTACACAGGCAGACAACATTCCAAAGACAAGTACTCAAGAACAGAGTCCCGTACACAATCTCACAGATGAAGAAAAAGCAGCAGACGTCATAGGTGATGACATCACAGATGAGGACAAAGTGGAAGCAGAACACAGGGAGGATGTACAGAAAAAAGTCTCAGCCAAAATTTTCTCAGGTGAGAGAAGAAAATTGCATGATGTCATGAATTCTTGTTATACTTGCAACAATTCAGATAAATGTATTTCACAACTACCTCTTCCTTTCAATTTTTTTCTACCCTTTCTTTCTTATCAATGCAAATTGATCAAAAAACTGCAAAGACAATTTCAAGGAGAACTTGAGAAGTGAAACATTTTAAAATTTCATTTATCCTTGTAGATCATATTTCTTCCTTTAGCAAATCTCACTTTACCCACTGGTAGGAAGAAACCTACCAAACCAAATAAAAATCTCTTCCTAGTAGTATGATGAAATCTAAAACAGTAAGAACATCACAGACTTTTTAATCTGTTATCAGGTGTGAGACAATCCAAATTCAAACACCTGAAATGTAAGACCCTCCACCGCAGTACGCATATCGAGAACATCAGGAAGCTGGACAGGACCGTCCCAGGGGAAAGTAATTTCTTTGTCGCCAACAAAGCTCGGTGTGTTGTCCCAATCGAGGGCTCAGGGGGACTCCTTTCGGTTTTTGAGGTAAAATTTTTTTGGGAATGATAATTGTTTAAAGTTTTGTGAAAAGAAGCCCCCAAAACATTTGCTAACAAGACTGAATACTTTACATGTGTTTTTTTCCACTAAGAGTAAACTGAAATACATGTATATGTAATGATGAAAATAAGATTCATTATCATATTTTTGATATATTTTCCTTCAGAATTTATTGGTTTATAAGTATGTGAAGGTTCATAAATCCTTTGCTCACTCATATAAAATGTTGTTTTAATGCTTATGATTTTCCAAAAGAAATGTATTTTACATGTATAAGTAAAATATAACAGTTATAGCATAGCTTGTGGGGCAAAATTAAAGACATTTCAACTCGACAAATTTATAAAGGAATGATAGACATTTATGTCATTAAGAGTTATCTCTCTTATCAGAGTATCAATGAACCTTAAATGAAATTTAATGTTCATTGTTTATTTGTGCTTTATTGAGTCACTTAGAAATAAGGATGACCTATAAACATGTATCTATAGCTGAATAGTCCCGGGAAGCTCCCAGACACAGGCATACCAGTCCTAGAGCACCATACTAAGGTTACAGATTATGCCTGGGATCCTTTCAATGACAACAGACTTGTTGTAGGTGAGAAGTCTCAATCTTTACTTCTTCAGATTAATACATGTGCATTTATTATTATGAATGTCTTTATATGGACTTTGAAGAAAGTTGGTGATACACTGTAAATAGTCCAAATGAAATTGACCCTCTCAATTGCTCTCTTTTTTTGTTGCGTTGAAAAACTGAGAGCTAATGAAAAGGCAAACTTTAATCAGACTGGCAAGATATATGAAATAAAAGGTAAGGGACTGAGTTATGGCAAGATTTGAGGCCTGTTCAACAGAACGAACATTGGAGAGTGCTCACGAACATTTCTGTTTGAAAAATAAGGAATTTTGGTGAGCGCACACAAATGTTCACTCTGTTGAACAGGCCTCAGGATATTGAAATATAAACAGTTAAGCTTGTTCCTCAGTCTTTATGGAATAGCACCATGTTAGTTAATGTATCTTCCCTGAAACACCAACATGTTCATCAATGTAAGAATATAAATCTTTGAAGTACAACCTTATCTTAAAAAAAAAAATAATGAAAATCTGGTCAATTTTTCTAAGCCTGTGATGATGCCAAGATCTGGATATGGGAGATTCCTAAGAATGGATTGACAGAGACCCTCACAACCCCTAAAGGAACTCTGCTGGGACATATGGAGAAGATTTATTTTGTGGTCTTTCATCCCCTGGCCAGAGACATTATTGTTACATCTGCGTATGATTTCACTGTGAGGATCTGGGACTTGTCTGAAATGAAGGAGGTCATTCAGCTGATGGAACATCCAGATCAGGTGCAAAATTTCTTCTTTTAAAATATTAAATAGAATTTGGATTTTAATGACAGCACAAATTAAAAAAAAAATAATATTGCCTTAAAAGAATGGTTAATTACTACTGATCTTTAGAATATAAAAAGTTACGGTTTGGGTCTATTTCCTTTGATGTTATTGACATTTCAATACATGTATGTCAATATGTCAAGTATATCTACAATGTACATGTATATGTATGGATATATAAATTTATCACTCAAAAAAGCTTAAAAATTAACACCAGAGCTATTGTTTATACTGTGGTTAAAATGAGGTTCAAGGGATATAACTCATGGATTCAATCTTTAAGGTTTTCTGTGCAGCGTGGAGCCCAGATGGAAAATATTTGTGTACAGTTTGCAAAGATGGAAGAATTAGAATATTTAATCCTAGGAAATCCCCAAATCCAATCATGGTAAGAAATGAGTTGATTAACAATTTCCTCTGAAATCTTTTTTGTTTTGACCAGAAACTGTGTCAAAAGTAGCAAAAGTGAAAGACACTTGAGGGGATTTTAACAAATACAAATCAATGAGTTATTTGTGTGCATTTCAGGAAGGGTCAGGACCAGATGGGCCTCGAGGGGCCAGAGCAGTATTTGTATTAGAAGGAAACTACTTGTTTGTCAGTGGATTTGACAAGTAGGTGTACAAGTACCATGATTTGTTTTTCTAATTTAACCTCATCTCCTATCTCTCTCCAACTCATTCCAAAGAAATGAAATTTGAATTTTATGTTCTAGAAGTAATCATTTTGAACAAAATTAAAAATTGCACATAAGGAATATTCAAGTTTAATTGAGCATATCTCTCATATTCCAAATCACAATACAATACAATCACAAAATTAACAAAGAAATACTCTTTAAATATGAGCAATAACTTCAATCGTTGAAAAGTCGTCAATCAAAAACCACCTGATACAAAAAATCTGAGTGCAATGGGAACATTTCTTTTTTTTTTCACTCAGACAAAGTAGGCGGATGATATTCCTGTATGACACTGGTGACCTGAGCCAGCCTCTTTATGAAGACTCAATAGACGAGTCCCCAGCAATCCTCATACCATACTATGATGAAGATAGCAATACTGTGTTTCTTTCTGGAAGGGTAAGTCACAGGAATTAGCAAGAAATTAAGTCATAGGAATTGGCAGGAGATTAAGTCACAGGAATTAGCAGGAGATTAAGTATATGAAACTAACATGGAAGAAATACCAGGTGATTAAGTCACAGGAATTAGCAGGAGGTTAAAGTTACATAATGAGTCTAAATCATGTGTTTCTTTTAAGACAATTGTATCACAAAACAAAAGGTTTGTGTGAAATATGAATATAACAAAGTTATGAAAACTCAACTGCACTGTATAGCAAAAAAAGAACTGCAAAATGTGAGTGCTGGAAAAACAAATGTTGTATCTATGCGTAATTTTTATCGTCAATGTCAACAATGTCAAGGTCAGGCGTCCTTTATTTTTAGCGTGAAAATTGTAAGCAACATTGAATTGGAGCAAGCAAAAGTGAGGAATAAATTCTGATCATCTTTTTTTTTTTGGAGATTGTATCAAAATTCTTGGTCATCCGACATTTATATCTATGGAATTGACACCATGGTAAATTCTTCAATTCTTCAGCGCATGCATACAATAAAGAGGAAACAATGAAGCAATATTTTTGTGTTGGGTTATACAAAGATTTTTTTTACTTTTATTTTTCTCCATAAAAGTAGATTTTTAGGTTCTGAAACCTGTATTTTCTGAAACTTATATCTTCAAGAACTGAACAGAATTTGCATGTGTCATGCAGAAATTCTATTTTTGTAAATTTTCCCGTTTTTCCGTCACGGTGTCTCTTTAAGTCACAGGAATTAGCAGGAGGATTTTTTTTAACTATATGTACTTTATCAAAAGGTGGGAGAGGAATGGGGCAACCAGACTTTCAATGAATATCTTCAAACTAAATTAATAGTAAAAATTTATGTTCAGGAAAAAAAGGAGTGGCTTTAACTTTTTCAGAACTAATTGTATCAATTTGGAAGTTCTAAATCTATTTTTAGTTCAATGTAGAAAAAAATAAATTCTTTGTTCAACTGGAAGGTCATGTTCAGGTAAACATTACATTGTTGGATCTCAGCCAATCAGAGAGCTAGGAATTATTAAATGAAATATATTTTAAATAAAAGAACAGTGTTTATAATTTTTTCTCAAAAAGTTTTTAACAGTGTTAAAACTTTTCATTCTGAATGTTTCAGGGGAATGGACAGTTATATGCATATGAAGTTGCAGCAGAGGAACCATATTTATTCCCCTTGGCTACAACTAAGTTTCCAACTGCAAGCCAGGCATTTGCCTTCCTTCCGAAATATCTGTGTGACGTAAAAAATGTAGAATTTGCCAAAGCTTACAGATTAACCCAGACTACAGTAGAACCTGTGTCTTTCACTGTCCCTAGAGTGAGGGTGGGTATAATTACTTCAAACAGTAGAAATACGAGGGTTGTTAGAAAAGTTCGCGGACAACTTCTATTGTGAGCGCGCTATTTGCATGAAATCAGTAAAACTCTGCAGGTAAAAACTATACATATTTTCCAATTTATATGCAAAAATTTGGTGTTTTCCGATGATCTTTAAACAATACACAGTGAAATTATTAAGATAAAATATGCTTCACGGAGCATGTTACTTTTTCTCACTTTTACATTTCATAGACATAATTTTGAAATTAAAAATTGCACTGTTGTAGTGCATTAATGTTTATGATATTTCACCTATCGCTAAAATATTTATGAAACATCATTTGGTGAAATTTTGAATTAAATTGGAGGAGTTATGACTGTTTTATCACTAATTATAGATGATCAATGCGTAAAAACAAAGCCAAAAATGGTAACGTCACTGAATGTCTTGGAGCACCAAGCTATTAAAAAATTATGTGTGCAGACAGGAAAATGCCCGAAAGAGACTTAAATGTTTCTAGATGCTGCTGGGGATGGCTTACACGTATCTAGTACCAAAGTGTTCATGTTGTAACAACTTTGTAAGAATGGAAGGATGGGCATTTTTGATTATAATCCTCCGCGATACCCCAATATCCTGCTCATCGCATGGACGTTGCGCCTATGGATTTTGCATTGTTTCTCATATCTGATCATTGAACTGCGTAGACATTGTTTTAAAGATTTCACTAATATCCGATAAGCCACAAAAGACATAAAAAATATGTAACATGTCTTGATATACGTATTCAATTTTTAAGTCAGAAAAAGACATGAAAAGTCTACAGAAATGAAGGATATTTAGAACTGTGAAAAAGCTTCACAGGTCTGGAATCAGGTTGTCGTGTCATCTAACGTCATAAAACGTCAAGTGATTGCTCCGTGAATCCTATGGCCGCGCAGTAAAAATCAACGTATGTTTTCAAAATTTTAGTAAATGGACCTGATTTTTTACATACTAATAAACAAAAGATAAGAATTTAATTAGACAAACGTCATTCTTTAAAGTTTACAACATATTTCCCGTAAATCAACGTGTCCGCGAACTTTTCTAACAACCCTCGTACATGAATGAGATACCATAATTTTATTGACTGCATTCTTGGACAAAATATTCTTTTTTACAACCCAAGGACCAAACTAATGTCATCTGAGGTCATAGGCCAGAAAAACAACAATGTATAAAGGGCCAACCAAAAAAAGTTGAAAAAAAGGTCAACAAAAATTTACTATTTATACTCTGAATTTATTTGGATGTATGTTGGTTTACATCAATAAACTTTCTAAGTTTGAACTTAGAGTTTGTCATTCAGCCTCGTGCAGATAAATTGTGGTATATTTTTTACACAGTTGCATTAATTATTTGTGATGGTTTTGATGTGGAACCCCTCGAGTAATGCAACAGATAAAAGGCAAATATTGTGCCTTTATATTGACCTTATTTTGGCTATTAGAGTATTGAAATTTGATTTATCCAAAGCAGAAAAGGGTTTCAGAGCAAAACACTGAAATCACTTAAAAATTGGTGCAAAAATTACTTGTTGACATATGACTGAAGTTCTATCTTGCCAAAAAACCATAATAAAAATGAATTTTTATCACAGATACAGTACATGTATTTTTGTGGCTCTCCTCATAATCTTTAACAATTTTTTTTTCAGTTGGAGTTTTTCCAAGATGACCTTTTCCCAGATACTAGGGTGACCTGGGAACCAACAATGACCCATAAGGAATGGCTGGCAGGGAGTAATCAACAACCCAGAACCATAAGTCTGAAGCCCAAAGACATGACACCATGTAAGCGGAACTATTTACTTGAAATGAACCATTATTTCCAACTTCTTTTATTGCCAATTGTAAAATTGTCTGTGGTTGAACTTTTAGGTTTTTTAAGCAATACATTTTTATGCCCCCGTATTGAAGATTCGGGGGTATATAGTTTTTGTCCTGTCCGTCCGTCTGTCTGTCTGTTTGTCCGCAAAAACTTTAACCTTGCCCATAATTTTTGATTGGTTGGAGCTATGACTTTCATATTTCACATGTATATTCCTTGTGACAAGACCTTTCTTTGGGTACCATCATATTTGACCTTTTGACCTTGACCTTGGAGTTTGACCCACTTTTGCAAAATTTTATGAGACTTTAACCTTGGCCAGAACTTTTGAATGGTTGGTGCTAGGGCTTTCATACTTTACATGTGTATTCCTTGTGACAAGACCTTTCTTTGGATACCAACCACTTTGACCTTTTGACCTTGACCTAGGAGTTTGACCTACTTTTGAAAAACTTTAACCTTGGCCATAACTTTTGAATGGTTGGTGCTAGGGCTTTCATACTTCACCTATGTAATTCTTGTGACAAAACCTTTCTTTGGATACCAAGCACTTTGACCCTTTGACCTTGACCTAGGAGTTTGACCTACTTTTGAAAAACTTTTACCTTGGCCATAACCTTTGAATGATTGGTGCTAGGGATTTCATACTTCACATATGTAATCCTTGTGACAATCTTTTGGATACCAACAACTTTGACCCTTTGACCTTTGAGTTTAACCTACTTTTGAAAATCTTTAATCTTTGCGATACCTTTTAAACATTTGGTGCTACAGCTTTCATACTTCACATGTGCATTCCTTGGGAAGACTTTCCTTTGGATACCAACATTTTGGCATTGACCTTGACCTTGGAGTTTGACCTCCTTTTAAAAACTTTAACCTTGGCCATAACATTTGAACGTTTGGTTCTAGGGCTTTCACATTTCATGAACATGTGTATCACTTTTGACAAGACCTTCCCTTGAAGCCCTTTTGACCTTGACGTTTTACTTACTTTTAAAAACTTTAACCTTCGCCATAACTTTTGAACAGTTGGACCTAGGGCTTTCAAATTTCACAGGTATATTCCTCGAGACAAGACCTTTCTTTGGGTACCAACATTTTTAATCTCTTGACCTGGATTTTGACTTGCATTTGAGGAACTTTAACCTTCGCCATAAGTTGCTATACGGGGGCATCAGTGTTTCACAAAAACATTTTGTCAATAATTGGTTTGCATTTATAAATATTTTGAACCTGATTAATCCAAAATTTTGCTGATATTTTTTTTAAAATGAATACTGATTACAGAACCATAATAGTTGTGGAGGATTCCTTTTTATTCATAATCAATTTATTTCATGCAAAATTGGGAAGAGGTGTCAAAATAATTTTCTTAAAAAAAAAACAAAAAACATAAAATAATGTACATCCTGTTTCAGTGAGCTTGGCACCAAAAGAAACACACAAAGTGAAGAAGTTTGACAGCTACAATCCAGAGACATATAAAACAGATGAACAAAAGAAGGAAGAGGTATGTCTACATCATTTGTTAATAATTTTGAATTAAAAATTGATAATGAATATAATTTTACATAATTTATGTTGGTTGATACATACACTTTATGTAAATTGTAATATTTGTCTACAATATAAACTAAGCAATATGTGTGAAACACTTATTCAACATTTACTTAAATATTTTAGCAGTATGTTTAGCTTTTTTTTTTTTCAAACATATGTTTGTCATATTTCTGAAATACATGTTGAACATACATGTGTATATATCAAATTGAACATATTCAAAATATACTGAAATATTCAGATATGATACACATAACTTTTTATGATAAACATGTTTGAAATATACATTGAATACATGGTAATACATATATTGCTTTTGTTTAGCTTTGAAACATATCATGAACATATGTTGCATTTTATCTGTGCAGTGGAAGAGATTAGAAAATCAATGGCATGAATTTCAATATAGTATGCTCCATTAAAACAATTTTTAGTCCCCCCTCCCCCCTTCTGCACTAGATTGTTAAGATAATTGTTTTTTTGATTACTTCAGTTAAGATGTAGTTGATATTCTTTTTTTCATACTATGATAACTACCTCTATATATTTTTAGTTGCTGAGTGCTATGACTAACAAGCTGAGTAAACAAGAGGACCCTCTCCCCCAGGACTTGGCAGAAGGTGTGGATGAAGATGAATGGGTAAGTCAGCCATATCTTTTCCCCTTCAAATTATATTGAAAGGTTGATACATGTATGATGTCCTTGCAAATCAGGCCATATAAAAACTCTGAAAATATGCAAAATCAATATTATACAATTCAATATTAGCAACTGCAGAAAAATATTAATTTTGCTTTCTAAGACAGCAGTTTATATTTGATGAAAATTTTGTGAGTTTGCTTGTTTTCATTTAAACAAATATTTACCTTTGCTGTGTTTTTCTACAAAGCCAACTGTGAAATTGATTTGAAAGCCATTTTTGTGTATACTCGTGTAGAAATCTACACGGAGAAACTTGCATTAAAGTGACGTCACAATGAGCCTTCAGAGACATTAATAAAAATATGACAATATAGGGCAGCGAGAAATTCAAACATTGAGTAAATTTTTGGTGCATTTAAACATGTAAAATATAAATATAAGGAATGTTTTTAAGTGTAGTTTGAATTATTGATGTGTAAATCACACAGACTTGCATGTAGGCATATTTCATGAAGCGCTAGCGCACTTCATGAAATATGCGTACGTGACAAGTCTGTGTGATTTACACACCAATAACTCACACAAAACTTAAAAACATTCCTTATATAAATACTGAGGGGTCATTGTAATTTAAGAAGGGGGGAGGGGGTGTCAGGTTTGTGGGCAATCAAAATTTTACTTCATGGGGACATAATTTTGTGGGTAACTTGTATATGCAGAAAAAACAATGAACTGATATATTGACAGAGAAATTGTTCATGTGGATGTAAATTTGTGGGTAAGAGTGACCCCAAAATCCATAAACTTTGGTGCCATAAGTACAATGATGATTCCAAAGTATGGTATTGGACTTGAATTAGTTTGACAACCAGGTGTAAATAAAATCTACTGTTTCTGACAAACAATTCAGCGATGTGAATTAAATGTGTCAAATGCAATCAGAAATATTTACACATATCAACCCAGATTTGTTTTTATGGAAAATGGGTAAAGTTTGGGGGCAAAAGACAGTGTATATAATTAGTACACAATTAGAAATTAGAACATCTTTCTATTTTTTTCAGGATGATTGAAGATATAATGCTGTGAAAAGACTGTGCAATCTTAAGGGAGATTCTTAAAAAATGTATTAATCATTCATAGTATTAACCACTAATATTTACATTCCATAAGTCATAGTACAGTACATGTATTAAGAAAGACTTTCTGGAATATTTATTTTGTGCCAAAGCATGTCTGTATTAAAAACTTGTATATGGTAATTCAATGTCTGTAGGAAAGAATTAATAAATTAAACACTGTCATGCTTTTTATTTAATATTAAATGATATCAAAGTGTACTTGAGTTCCTGATTTGAATTGAATACTCAGTTTTAGGGGAGGATCCATGATTTGCAATTGGAAAAGGTTAATACATAAGTAGGAGAAAAAAAAATGAATTAGTTCCATGTTGATATGGAACAAATTTTAATGTTTATTACATGGTTTCAGAGAGTCACAGGCTTTGTGAAACATATAAAACTATCAAATGTAGAAACAAACTCAGGATTTTTTATGAGGCCAGTCAAGTTTTGAATGTTTGTTTTTGTTTTTTGTGCTGGGGGGGGGGGGGGGGTTGGGTTATAGTGGTTTGGATTGTTGTGCTGCATACGAATCAAAGGTAGTGAAGATTTTAGGGATGGGGGTAGGTCCATGGGGAGTGGGGGTTTAAGTATTGAAATGAGGCTGAATAGTGAACTTATCAATATGAAGTGTTGAATGTTTAATAGAAATAATTGCGCAGTATAACACTAAAGAGTTGTTAAAAGTTCAGCAATGGACACGTTTCTTCAAAATTCAGACTCTTGATTAAATTTCATTTACTTTAACATTATGCATATATTTTTCAAACAACTCTCATCCTAAATTTATGCAATTTGAAGACCTAAAGTCGAAGTTAAATATCAACAGAGTTTTACTTATCGCTATTGTTTTATTAGAGGTAATAATCTGGAGTTGTGTGTATTGTATACAGTAATTCAAAATAGAATTATTTGTCAGAACATTAGTTCACATACATTTTTATTCTTAGTTTTATTATTGAATATGCCTGTAGGAAGCAATTTCAGTTGGGGGGGGCAAACTTTTTTAGTTTGGGTGGGCATTACGAAGCATAAATTCCTTGACAAGAAAAAGAAAGGGGCATATCAGACGTGATTATTGAGAGGGACATCCATAAAGTAACTGTTTTCCTATCGGTAAAATTATTGTGGGTAGGGTGCATTGCCAACCCCCAAGCCCCCGTTCCTACGGCCATGTTGAATCTTAAAAGACAACACTGCTGATGGAAGCAGCTAGTGATATTTTTCCATTCAGGATTATAAAATTATGGAACCGCACACAATGACACAACAAAGTGACAGGAACATGTAGGTCTAAATTTGGCAATTCCAAAATAAAGCCTTGCTGGGAGTGAAGCTACGTGGAATGAATTATACATGTATATTGAATGTTATATAATTACATGTATGTTAATCCTTAACATTATGAAAGCACTGAATATTTAAATGTATGGTGACTTCTACGAAAGCAAATAAAACGCATTTACTTTAAATTCTTTTATTCTTCCCCATTTCACAGCTTAATTTCACATTGACTGACTTGCTCAAAGATCATAAAGTACATGTTTTAATGATAAAATCATATGTCAATAATAAAAATATGAAATGAGAATAGGGGTTCCTTAAATATGTACAAAAATACACAATACTAGCACTTATCACAAACGGGAGGGAGAACACACTTTAAAAATCTTCTAAACGATGAGCAATACAATATATTATAATTATTAAAATAGTAATACGTTTGCCTTTATTAAAAAAAAAAACAGCAATAAAAATAGAAAAATCAATTTCTCCATGAAAGTATACCCTAAAGAGCTGAACATCTCTCCCCAGTAGGAAACCAGTAGGAAAACTGTCTTAAATTTTATTCCCAACTAGAGGAATCTGTCCCCAATTTTGTTCACACTAGAGGATAATAAAGCATTTGAAATAATTTAACATCAGAAATCTATATGAAAATCATTTTAAAACGTAATTTAAGTTACTGCAGAACCTAATAAAGTTTAGACAAAATAACAACAACACACACAAAGAAAGCATCAAACAAACAAAATCAAACAAAAAGAGCTTAAAAATTAGACACAATTTAACATAGCATTTCGTATTTGTTGAAAGATGAACAATCAACATGGACAAAATCGAGTATATTTCAGCTATTTATAGAACAAGGCTGTCAACAATTCGTGTCCCGATGCAATGAGCACATTGTTTGTCGACAATATTATTAACGACTAGCCAGAGTATATAAAGAGGGTATTCAATGTTTTATAGTTGGATATGGGATTTATTTCACGAGTGGGACAGGATTTTTTGATATTTTCACGAGTGCGAAGCACGAGTGAAAATACTGGAAAAAAAATGGCTCACGAGTGAAATACAATTTATATTCAACGAAGTACAAAACATTCAATTTTCTGTTTATTACATTTTCTTCGATCTTCATTTGCCTCTGTCTTTCACACTTTGACAGAATATCACTTTTATTCATTAAATAAATCACAATATTTCACTGTTGAAAATGTAATAAAAAAGTCAAACCTCAATAATTCGGAAACCAATAATCCGGGCGTTTCACCTTTCGGACAGAATTTGTTGGAAATAGAATTACTACTTATAAAAGGTGTTTCAGTAATCCGGGTGATTTGGTGGGGAACACAATGGTCTAGGCTCGACTGTTTACCGGAATACAAAGGGAATGGCAAGTCTTACAGGTAGGTATGGGTTAGAATATCTAAAACTTTTCCTTCACAAACTTAAAAAAAATGTTAAAAACCTATTTCATAAATGTGTGGAAAAATATATAAAACAACCGGAAAACAAAATAATCTGGTCTCAGATAACTTTAAAACATGTTTTTAAACTCGGTTAGAGCATGTAGATTTGACGGAAATGACACATCAGCCATAGGTATATCACAGATCCAACAGGCGATCAGATTCAGTATTACACCAGCATTTTTTCTCTGAAAGCTAAAAATAAAAAATAATTTCAAAAAATTATTCATTATATATATATATATATATATATATATATATATATATATATATATATATATATATATATATATATATATATATATATAGAGTATCAAACTCATTTAATTTGTTGATAAACAAATGGATAGAACAGCCCCCCTCCCTCTCTCTCTCATTTTGATGCATAAAATGAAATACTTGGCAAAAATATTCATCAAATTAATTTTGATGTTCATATGTAAGTGTACATTTTTTTTTTTACTTTTCATCGTAATGAATTATTCAGTTATCCCCCAAACGTTGCGTTATCAGTTAAAATTACATAATTGTGTGAAACTATCTACAGCCTTGCTCTCATCAAGGCAATTTTGTACAATCCGTCCTCGTTCGATATAAATTAAGTACACGCGAATGTCACCTTTCAGTGTCACATTCATGTAGCGCATGAAAATCATTTACATCAAGTTTGAATTTATCAAACTATATACCCTTATATTATATATATTCGTCATAGACATTGGGGGAATTAAATTTTAAAATACCTCGTCATTATTATACGATTAAAAAAAAAAAATAATGCACCCAGGCCGATTGACATATAATGTAGCATTAACTTTTTTTTTAATAATAGCAATGAGTGAGAATCGTGTTTCAAGGCATTGATTTGAAGTAGGGATGGCAACGAATATTCGAACATTCGAATATTCATTCGATGAGTTGATATTCGAATATGAATTTAAGATTCGAATATTCGGTGTTTGTCAGATTTCATAAAAAAGAAGTACTGTGATTAATAAATTTTGATTAGAACAGTGCTGGAATTATCCCTGTTTAATTTACTAGCGATCAATTTCCATCGACTGATTTCTTTCACTTCTTCCTTGTCTTATAAATCTTCTAAATTACATGTATTTTGTTTTGAGTAGGTGTTATAAAGAATTGTACAATAATGCTCTATGTATAATACAAAACGTACTTTCATAGTTTTTATTAGTTAGATACGATCGGATCAAGAATCGAGGACAACAAATGAAATCTAAGAATATCTAAAAGAATCGAGGACAACAAATGAAATCTAAGAATATCTAAAAGGCGTGAAAAGTATACTTATCAAAATAAAATTAATTGATCATTGAATGAATGTCCGATAGAATTAATCTGTAATTAATATTGTAAAGGGCTTAATTTCAGAATAAATGAGTAAATTACTTGATTATCTTGGGTTGTACATAATTTATATTCATTATCGGGAAAATAGTTAATTACCTAGGAAAATTGTCTATGGAAATATTTGTTTACATTGTATCAAAGATTATAATCATATCTCTTATCAGGTAGATAATTGTAATTTATTACACGTATTGAAATCTGAACAGTATACCGTTACGGCTATCTAGCCTTTTGTGAGACGACTGGTTCCTCAGGTGGGGCTACTATAAATACACGTTTCATTTGTTAAAATTATACTTTTCTACATTTTAATCAATTATTTATTTCAATCAATAACAAATATAAAATGGAATTTCTTATTCCACACCTACAAAAGTCTTCATACAATTTTACTTCCAATATAAGTATACCTACGCTAAACCTTTCATGAGAGTAGGATGATGCATATTTAAATAAAACAGATTTTATTTATTTTATCGAATATTCGAATATTTTCGAATACTGTCATCGAATATTCGAATATGAATTATTGACAAAATTGACATCCCTAATTTGAAGTCAACAAAATTTTTATTTATAGCTCGAAACTTCGGTCGAATATAATTTTTTAAACATCTATATTTTTAATAACAATTAATCTTTTAACAAATTCATATATAAAAAAATAAGTGTGATCAGCGAAAAATTAACAAATGTGATGCACATGGGCTCAGTTATCTGTGCAACATGTCCCCTTGGCCTTCCGATGATGCTCCACAACCGAATTGATAGGAGGGCAATGGGGACAGGCTACTGTCTGTGTTTATATGACACAAGTACGCAAATTGTGAATACAATATTTGTTTGTTCTCACTATATAGAAGTTACTCAGTAACAAAATTTATACACCTGAGCAGACAAAATACATGTATACTTACTTTTTCTACGAATGGCGATAATTGCTATGACAACCGCAACAATGACAACCACACCCACTACAGCTGGGACAATGATGAAAACGAGGTTCAGCGATGCCGTTTCTCTGTTGCCATGGGTACCAGAGACCGGAGCTGTCAATTAAGGATTATACATTTGCATGAATTATAATTGAAATAACTCGACCTATTAAGGACTGCTTAGAAGGCGGGAGTCCACAAAGGAAGGGGTAGGAATGGTTGGCTTCAATTCACATGGCCGTAGGAACCGAAAGGGAGGAGGGGGGCTCGGGGTGCCCGCAATACTTTATGCTCGTGTCCCCTCAATAATAATGAATTTTACTTGGTAGCCCCCCTCCCGCATTGAAAATGTTTGGTTGTGCCCCATCCTCCCCGAAACTGAAATTGTCCCTCCTATCTCCCGGATGATTCTTTCAAATGTTTTAGAATGTTAGCCAAAAGGTCCTGTCAGTTTACTTATGACATTGAAAAAAAAACAACTATTAACCAAATTTTTCAGTTTTTCCTCTTTTTATTTGTAATTATTTTGTTTTCCTACTTTTGAAGAATAAGAATTACCTAAATGAAAGGAGAGTCTGTTTAAACTTTTCCTAATTAAATACAAATGAAAACATTGACCCTCTGAATACCGGATGCAGACGAGAGTTGAATATCCTGTGTCCAGCAGCTAGTGGGATTTCCAGAGCAATAATCTGACAGAAAATTGTATTTGTGAAGGGTGTTTTTGCATTGGTTGTACACTCATCATAAGAAATTTGTTTTGCTGGTCAATATCATGTGATCAATGAGGAAGTGACATTTATTTCATTTATTGGACAGTGACAAGTGATTTTCTTTTCTTTTCAAAAGAAGGAAGGGGTGGGGGAGGCTAATCCAAAATTTAAACTTAAGAGTTAAAAGGAGGGGAATATCTGAAAACATTTAATTAAAAATGAATATATATATATATATATATATATATATATATATATATATATATATATATATATATATATATATATATATATATATATAAGTAGATATCGCTTTTTTAAAATGGATTTTAATGCTACCAAAAAACATGTATCAGAAAAAAATCGAAATGCACTGCTTATTTATTTTTACACAAAAACGATTGATGCTGGGAGTGCCTTCATCTTAAACCGCCATTAATTTGGACTTTGTGAATTTTTGTATTTTCTATTGTTAGCAGTGGGGTACTGCAACCGCATCTGAATTTTGGAGAGTGAATTGAAGCATGTTACAGAATTTTTCGGTTCTATTTATGGTTGATATTCTGATATCAGTTATGTGAAAAAAGTGTGTTCATATGGAAAGCATTCGACATTGGATACACCAACCTCAAAAGTCTATCGTTAAAATCCAAGTACTTACATAGCGTTAAACATATTTTTTTAAGTTGTAAGGCCAAAATAAAAAATACCTTTGTTTCCCCTAACCGACCCAATTACATCGCCCCGACTGAAAAGTTTTTTTCTAATAAGATTATTCAAATATTTTTTTTTAATATTTACAAGTTTTTAATTTTTTTACTAGTTCAATTATGAATTAATTTACTTTTAAGTTTGCTTAAAAACGGCAATGGTAATGGTGTGATAATTCTGTTAACAAATCGTTTTCTTTGTACTTTTCTTGTTTTTGAAGGTTGTATTTTGAAGGTTGTACTCCATTATATATAAATTTATATAATTTTATAATGTTTAAAAGTTGCTGTCAGAAAAAAAAATTATCTACCTACCTACCTACCCAACTTGAGATTTTAGGGTCGGGTTAGGGGAAACAAAGATATTTTTAATGATGGCCTAAATTCCAAGTATTTGTAACTGAATTTGATATGGATGTTTGTTGTATTAAACTCTCTCTCTCTCTCTCTCTCTCTGTCTGGTTGGTAGAGGGGGGGGGGTATTAAATGTATAAAATCAATAGAAGTATTACCTAAATCACTCTTGGCCTGTTCATGATTTTGTTTTGGAGCCTGAGTTGTAACCAGTTCTTCGTCAATCACCGGAACTCTATCTGTGTGTGTGTCGGTGTGTGTAACCAAAGTACCGGAGCCCTCCTCCACCGTGCTTTCCTGTGTATCACTAGTGGGTTCAAAACATGTCAATATATCAATCAATATCTTCTTGTTTTTAGTCATAAAGATATTTATTTTTTTTCTATAAAGGATTGTTCACATTGTAATATTAAATCCATTTCATAAATTGATTAATAATAGGTGAACAATCTTTTCTAGAAAAATTAATATCTTTATAAAGTCAATTAAATTACAAATTGTTATCTTAATTGTAAGATTTTTTTGTGAAAAGGGCTGCTTCAGATCAGCAACTATGCAAAAAGACACAGCTACGAATTCACTTTAACGATACAATCTTACAACTCATCTGTGTGATAACACTTATTTCCTTTCGCTCAATAAACAAGCTTTGATTTGTTCCATGATCCTGGGACCTGGCTTCCGTAGGAAGGGATCTCCCCATTGGAAAATCTTTTATGAATTGACAATGGTTGGTTGATGTTAATGTGATTTTCATGTTGATAAACGTAAACTCGGGGAGAAAGATCTGTAGAGTTTTTTTAAGTACAAGTCATTAAATTGAAAAAATACCACCCCCCCCCCCCCAAATATAATAACTAAAATAAAATGATAACAATAAAAAAATCAGAAAGAGATTTGCATATGATATACATTGAAAATTCCAGGATGGAGGGCAGAACGATTATTTTTTACTCCATCTATCAAAATCTGCTACAAAAGACCACATTAAAATTATTAATTTAAACGAACGTGTTTTTTTTTTCGCAAGGCACATGAATGTACATGCACTGAAAACACTGAGTTAAGTACTTAAGAACCCACCCAGCCATTTCGACATGCACAGTCAAGGGCCCATACTCAGTATTCGTCACTCAGAAGTGGACGCATCTTGAACTTGAAAAAGGACTGTGGGATACTTAAGTTCAAATCGATGTGAATGAAACTGGTACTCCAATGTGATGTAGTAAACAATGCTGTATAGACGCTCTCCAACATTCCATCTAAATTCCACCAGAAAAAGTACATTCTTTTCTTGGGTATACTAGCATGTTGGGGGAAAAGTAAAGTGCATGTCTTTATGTAATTTAGAATACTTCAAATGTTAATTAGTTGTTACGTACCCTTCTAACAGATTTGAACTTAATTCACATTTGATTTTATTGCGGTTATAATTCACAGTCAATGTGTTGACAGATTTGAATATCAATGAAAATGTTCCATGCAGCAACTCCTAAACAGGGTAAAAATATAACGTATGGCTTTTTTTTTAAATAAAAGAAACAGTAGAATTCTACTGTCTACTGAGAAAAATACTGTATTACTTGAAAATGTAATATCATTCCTTCTGTCGATTGAATTTTCATTAATAAGATTGATCTATGTAGGTAATATAAATTAATTGACAAAACATGTAGATATCTTTTTACATCTTTTAGCGCTTTACTCGATAAAAATATTCCCTTTTACTGAAGTTCTTTAAATAATCTTGATTATAATCACTGGTTTTTGCTAGAACAATTATTCTTGGGAAGATAAAAAAAATCGCGTAAATTTAGCCTTGGACAATATTATTAAAAATGATCACAGAAGCAAATATAATACAGAAAATATACAATCGTCAAACTTGTATGAATTTAAATATCGAATGCAAATAAGCAATTAAAACTTACTTACCATATTGAACAAACGAACAGATGAGTAATACATATAACTGCAAATAGACGAGAGTTCATGGTGATGTTACCAAATGGGGATGAAAACAATGTATCGTGTGCTGACGCTGTGTGCTGTTTAAATATTACCCAGATGACCTTTTGAGTGACATGATGATGATGTCACTCTTGTCCGGAAATAGCAATGCTGTGAAAATGCAAGTTCTAAATGTACTTCAGATGTACAGGTCTCTCTCTCTCTCAAATCCATAATTATACATACTATTTTGTTTCTCATTGTTATTGTCATGTTGGTTTATCATGCATTACTATAGACAACACATAATTTGTTATATTTTTCATTTAAAATTATCATTTTTGTTAGTATTAATTACTGCCAATACCACAGACTGAGGATTCCAAGATTTGAACCCCTTATCTTTATAAATTGGGAGAGAGATATCATTCATAACATCGCCGGAAAATGAGGTTGATTATTTGTATATATTTAGTTAACTGTAAATTCTTAAATTATATAACATTGGTGTATAATGGAGCTATTAGGAAAAAAAAGTTGTTCTAATTGATATGAAAATACATATGTATCAGCATTTTTTTTTAAGAATAAGGCTTTATGTACATGTGCGTGTATACATGTATGATCATTCATTCGCTCTGCAGACCTTGCAATGAAAAAATTCAAATTTTCAACTCGATGGATAAAGACCCACGGTGTAAAATTATTTCAAAGCCTCTTTCATGGAGACATTGGAGAGGGATTATGCTTTTTTATATCCCGACGTGAAATAAAACTTGTTCAAGGATTGCACAAAGATGTTTTGAAATTGGGGACAATTGCTTACCAAAATGATTTTATAGTTTCAAGTTTCGAGTTTTTATTTAAGACAAAGACCCCAAACTGGGGTATATGAATACAAATGATACAACAAAATAACATACAAGCATGAAATGAGTGGCACTCATGTTAATTACTATATACATGTATAGTTCAAAACATCAAAGTATAGAAGGCCTCTGCTAGTATTAAATAAATCTATATGTTTTACAACATATTTTAAACAGTTGTTTTGTTATTATTAATTTATTACTGACAACAAAATTTTGCCAAATTTGGCAAGTCCAAAAATGACTTTAGCATCCTTACAATTTAACAGGTCATTAAATTTAATAACATTAACGTTCTATATCTGTATCATTTTATACTATAGACATGTTACTTCCCTTGTTCATAAAGAGTTGCTCTTCACATACGAGGTATCATGATCTTGAAAAAAAAACTTTTTTTTTCCCTACCACATTCATTTAGATAAGTAACAGAGTGCATGGAATTTATCGTCGATAATTATTATATACTCACATATATTACATACTGTTTAAATCTTACAAGTGATCAATGACATTCTTTTTGAATTTTCAGCAATCCGGAAATTATACGAAAGTATACGGCATCCCTCCAGATTTTAGCATAGGTACGTCATGGTATTTGTGACGTCACAATGAATTTTTCACGATAGACAATTATTGTTTTCCATAGACGTGGAAAAGAAGAACACCAATGGATTTAAGCTATACGTAAGTACTTGTACAACAATGATTTACAAATATTTTTGTTGAAAAGCTTTTTTTTTTTACTTAACAATTCAACTTTGTATGTGTTTTGGCGCTTTTCAAAACAGACTTCCAACAATCTGTGAAGAGAGGATATACGAAGATCGAGAAGAAATTCACCAGAAATATTTCGAGTTGTCAGATGATGGTATAATTCAATATTTAATATATACTTGTATATCAAGAGCCTTTATAATGTGTACTACCATCTATATGTCTGATTTCTTTCTAGAGTTTTGCATAATCATATATCTAATTTCAGGAAACTCAGCACCATTATCAGATACAACTAAATTTACTTCTAATGGCGAGAATGAGTGGAACACCAACAACTTCAGGTACATCATATTTTCTTCTTTTTTCGCCTCTTAGTTTTAAAAATAGATTTATTACTCTTTGATGAAACGATACTTCTGTTTTTCAGCTTTCCTACAATATATGAGGATGGGAATTGTGAAGCTGAATCTGGCGCACAAATTAATTTTGAATCCGACAATGGTAAGTCTTGTGTATTTCTATGAGAAGTGATTTTATCAAAATCGTCAAGTGTAACGTTACATGTATTAACACAGGATACATGTATTATGTTATAGGAAATAAGTTCACCACAGGACACTCATCTGATGAGCTCAACACACAGCTTTCTAGGTAACTCTCTCTCTCTCTATCTCTCTCTCTGTTAATTAAAGGGAATTATAATTTGATTTTTTTTTAGTTTTGTCAGAGCAGAACTAGACGTTATTGCAGAAGAGAAGGTGTATGATGATCCAGTGATTCAGCAGAGATATTTCCTGTCTGACGAGGGTAATTAAAGAGATTCATTTAAAATAAGATTTAATTAACACATAAAATTCCAATGAATAAATAATACAGGTGCCTTAAAGTCGATTTTTAATAACAAAACATACTGAACGCAAGAGAGAACAGAGGTGTAATTAATAACGTACATGTACATGAAAAACGCTCTTAAAATTTCCAATTCGCTTCATATTTGAATCAAAACTTCTGTTTATTTTCTTTTCATCTGGTTTGACAAATATTACATTCTTATCATTCACCATTTTACATGATTATTTCTAATTGCAGCTGGAATACCAAGAAAATCTACCCCTGATGCCGTTAAAAAGATACAAAATGACACACTTTTAAGGTAAAATTCAAATCATTTTGTGATTTTTTTGTCTGTTACAAGTAGTGATAGTACTATTTTAAAGGGGGGTGCTAAACAGCAAGATAAATAAGATCAGAAAATCCTTCAACAAATTATTAATTAACCCCTTCAAATCCCATCTCAATTAACCCCTTCAAATCCCATCTCCATAAGTCTAACAATGAGAAAGAACAACCCTGTTCTCTCTCAAATGTAATTGTCGCAACGATTTCAATTACTTAGCAGAGGATGAGGATGAAATTGATATTGATATGAAATTGATATTCAATGATGACCTTGGGCAAAATTGTTATTAAGAAAACCCGGTATTTCTCAATTTTAACTTATCTCTCTTCGAAGGGTCACATCAAACCCAGTAAATGACGTAGCTTTACTACGTATAAATTTAGCAGTTTTTAGGTAGACTTTTATTTACACTCCATTCTAAGGCAGAAATATGTAAATCTATTTTGATTTGGTTATATTACAGACATTGGATTAATCTATGCAATGAAAATAACCAAGACAAAAGAAGTCTTGAAAAGGAGTTACTCGGATATAGGGATGGTAATGGAGTAAGCTGGGATAAGTTTGCGGAGCAGAAACTTTTAGCTCTTCAGAAAGAATATGTCAAACTTGAAAATATGTATGAACAGATGAAGTTTGATTTGAGCTCAAGTGTTCCAGAAATCTCTTTGTCAGTTGGGGAACTCACTCAACGTATCCGAGAAATTTATGGAGAACAAATGCGATGTTACTCACCTTCAGAAATAGCTGAAGGAAAAATTCCAAGGGAAGAAAATATGTTTCGACAAGGAAATTTAGGGCCTGTGGACCTACCAACGGTCAACCAGCAAAAGCTGGTATGCATAGGAAGCAAAAAGAAAACACACGATGAATGTGAGAAAAGCAAACCTTCAGAAAAGAATCGTGCATATGCATGTAGGAAAGAACAAAGCAAAAACCTAAAGAAGCTACGTCAAAAAAATGAAAGGAGTGAAAAGATTTTGAGGAAACCTGAAATCAATGACAGAACTTTTGAGAAAACTCAGAAAGAAAGTCAAAGTGGAATTCTAAGCCTCGACAAAGATTTCGCTTCCAGTGATGGATGTTCACAGCTACAAATCCAAAGATCAAACGGAAGTTCTGGTTTACCGCCCAATTTCTCGCATTCTGTAAACGGACTTCAAAACGGAGTTAAGCTTCCACAAATTCAGCCGTGTTTACACATGAAAGGTGAAGTAAACTGTTCTTCACAGCAGAGCAAAAGTGTCTGTAAATTGCCGGAAATCCAAAGCGCCAAAAAACAGACCCGCCTGGAGCCATGTTCTAGTGCATCAGATCCAAACCAGACACCAAGTAAGCTACCAGCAATACAAGGACAGGCAATGCATGAGAAGAAAGCGGCAACACGCACTCCATCATCCCCTAAAATTCTTCCTCCATTATTGAACATCCCAAAATCTTCAAAAGAGATTCGAAAATGTTTTCAGGTTCCAAAACAAAAACGGCCTCAGATGTCCATTGGCAAAACAAATTCATACGATATTTTGATTATAGAGCACAGCGAAAGCAATACGTCAGCCAATTGTGTCCCAAAGATTATGTCCAAGGGGCATCTCAATTCTGATAGGAATAAAGGCAAGGGCAAGATGTTAGCACCTGTAGTAGAAACAGCAAAGGGCACCGAGGATGACTTTTTAGAAAATGTTCAGAAGAAACAGAAGAAAAATCGTATTTCTAGTGGCAGACGACACGATCGCCAGTAGGAAAGCATACCAGTCATGCGCAAAGGTTGATGCTGATTGGAACAAAAACATCACAAGAAAAAACTTAGCATAATTAATTTGTGTATCAATCGCAAAAACATCTCCAGTAATACAGATACACTGTACACTTTAATGTGCACCTGATGAAGATCCCCCCCCCCCCCCCGTATCACGTTAACTGTACTGAAACTTGCAGTGCATGTTGCAAAGGAAATTTGCAATGAACATCCAAAATAGCGCTTCAAACAGTGCTAAATGGAGTTACTGGTTAGAATATCCCTCCAAGGGAAACAGAATACCAAGAAAGAGAGACAGAATTCTACCCCTGTGCAAACTTCAAGTTCTTTTTAATCCATTGACACATGTCTGTATAAAAATTAAGAATACGAGTCAAAAGAAATTTTTTTTTGGGGGGGGGGTATTTTATTCATAGTAACTTGAGATATAAATCATGTAAATATTTTAATAATTTGAAGGAATATTTGAGAATTGAATAAAATGTGTGAACAGGGATCGACATTAACGGTAATCCGATTGCCCGTGACAAGTAAATTCTCAGTTCGGGCAATGAAATTGTCGACGTACTTGTCCGATCGGGCAAGTGAATTTTTCTCATACAAATGTACATATTTATTTAGTTTACATTAATTTATAAATAACACAATAAATTGGAGACTTGATATCCACACGCACCTGGATGACAATGTTTTTGCATTCGGAATTCCTTGGTAGCTGGGTTATACCGTTCTGTCCGTTCATTTAAAAATCGGATTCGTTATTTTCTTTCGTAGTAAATACGCTCTCCGTCTAACAAAATTTTGTTAACTTCTTATTAGGAAATTAGATTATTTATTCACGCACAGAATATAAGTACAGTGTAACACGATGTATCCTGATCAAGATAAGATGTATGTTTCGTAGCAACTGTCTTCCTTTAGCGTTGATTCACAGTTATCTCCGAAAGTCACGATTCACAAAAGGATCCTACCGAAAATAATTTTTTAAAAATATGAGTTTTATGAAAAGGAAACGGAAGGTTATTGCTGCATGAAAGTGTGTGTTAAAAGGTTGAATTCACAAGTACAGTCGTATAATATTTATGTACAGATGCAGCATCAATTTTTTTTCAGGTAGCTCAACTTGCCAAATTGACAGTAGTGTATTTGGTCACATTTTTTGTTATAATAACATTTACAGTACTTAATAATTTTCTTCTTTTCAAAGTTCTTTCCTAATTCTGAGCAACAAAGTCTTGCATTCGGACAAGTCAAAGTTTGAGATCACTTGCCCTTCGGGCAAGTGAATCTGGAAGTTAATGTCTATCCCTGAGTGAATAAAAGACAAAGCAACATCATTATCATTGGTCAGAATCAGCATTTACTTGTTTTGTTTGTGAAAACTCTCAACAAAGTTCATGATTAGCCCCTCCCGATAACGATTTCTTTTTATCATAATGCTCAGTGGCTTCTGCAATGTATAGATGCACACACCTCATTATACGTAATATATATTCATTAATTATAATTATGCAGGAGTTGAAATATTATATATAGTAGCCCGATGCCCGGGGCTAGTCATTTTAAGACTCGGGATAGCTAATTTAAATGTAATGATAGTCCATCGGACTAGCAGAATGGGAAAAAAAATCTCAACAGTTTACTTTCACTTTTCTATGTAGAGTGGTTTCATTAGACTGAGAACTACATTGTAGTTTAATTTGTTTCTGTCACCACAGCCTTTTGAACTTTTACTTGTGATGTTTTCATTTTGTATGAAAAAGTTGATGGGCAAGTTAGTTTGACGTTTGGGCTAGTAATTCTTTACTGATCAGTAGCCCCTGGGCTAGTGGGTTTTCCAGGAAAATTTAAACCCCTGTTATGTCCACAAATTCAAGTAATTTTTAATCGATAGAAGGCGAACTCACAACTAAAGATGTCAATTCTATTGTATCAAACCAGACATTAGGTGAAATAAGAATAAATATTTGTTTGCATATAAAAGAAAATACATCTATTAGAATGAAAGAACACTCGTAGTAAAAAAAGATCGTGTAAAATACTTCTAATTTGAGAAGTATGAAGTATTAATTAAACTATACAAGTTAACACTATTTGTCGTGAAACATACTGGATGCGTTAACTTGGTGCTCATATTCCGTCAAGCTGTCTCTTAACCTTGACATTTTTCATATTACAAAACATAATGAAGCGCTGCACCCTACATCAGAATATCACGTTATATGTGGTTTTAAGAAAAAAAAAATACATCTTTTAGCAAGAGTTATCTTTTTTTATGAATATTTTTTTTACTGGAAAATAAAAATTTAATACTAACAAGTAATAGTTAGAATAATCTAACTGTGTCTCGCGACAGGCCCTCACCACAGATAAACCGGATCCGTAGGACATTTATCATTTTAACGTTAGAACATTCTATCTAAACAAGTAATAGCTTTTCAAAAATCTTGCCTGACTAAATCAACCAATATCTATGGAACAAAGTATTAAACATTTCCGTCATCAAGGAGCAACATAGTTGCGATACTTCGTTACACAAGATGTACAATTGACTTTCTCAAATGCCACAATCAAATATTACAGATTAACGAATATCTAAGACATGCCACTGTTTGGTCATTTATTATTTAGCCCACGGGCTGACTAGTTACTTTGGGATGAAACTGAAAGTGCGCTTGCGTAGATTGGAATTCTGGGGAAAATAGATAGACGAGTCGTTCTAAAGAAATTCATATAACTCTAGCTCTTACCAGAAGGCGCGCTTCTAATCTTCATGCACAATCTCTGGTCAGTGATAAATTGCTGAGAAGGCCTCTATTTATAGATTGGTCTGTTCTCCGTCGTTCTCGACGACGAAGTAAATTTTGAACAGTTTTAACTAGGAAAGTTTTTTTGAAGTGTTTGAGACAAAAATATTTCAATGCTGTTCTAGGACGCAAAGTAAATGGCCGGTACACTTTATAGCTATTAGCTAGATCAAAGCAAGATACTGATAAACACCCCCCACCCCACCCTCAAGGACAAAACTCACTTGCGATGATGGTCTTACCATATATTATGAACGAGTTTAAAATGAATCTTTATGTACAGTTTAAAAACCGTTTTCAGTTTTACTTTTCAATCGATTTCAGGACCTTTCTCATTTCTTCTACAATAACGTGGGTTTTTTCATGAAATGAAAACCAGTACAGATCGAATGTCGTCTTCATTTTGCTGATTCTCTACTTAGAACCTTGCGGGAGTGAAGTCCATTCCTCTACGGGTATCGGCCTACACGCTTGCCGAAGGAAACCCTTATTCATCACAAAGCATGGAATAATATGTCATTGGCTGACTTTCTAAGCTTTTTAAAAAGCTAACCTTGTGAAGTACATTATTTCATAATATTGAAAGAAAAGGTTGTGTCCCCCCTTTCGTAGAAGACAAATGGACTGATCCAGTAGTTTAGAAACTCAGAAAAATGTAACACGGACATATCCGTATAAAGAATCGCAAAGAATAAACAGGTGCATGCAAAAAAGCCGAAGGAAGTAAAAACATTATTTTGCATCAGTAATATGACTGTTACTTCTGCAAACTCTATTTGTTAAAATGCAGGTAACAAATTCCGATGTAAATCAGCTTGCACAAACTCTAGCTCACTAAGAATGATCGCATGGAAAAAATGAACCTTATACTGCCTCACGCTTGTGGCTTCAGGCAATATAAAAATTCTACATTTGGTACTTGATACATTAAAACATTTTAAAAATGTTCCTTATAAAGATAGAACTTATTCAATTTGTAAGGGTTTTAAAACTGGATTTAAATGTTTTTGTCAAATATAAAAGAATTTGAAAAAAAACATAGGCAAAGGATGTTTCCATCATAATATGATGTTATGATATTATGTTAGGTTTACTCGAATTGACTACTCAAAGATCTCGATAATTAAACTCTGATAAAGTGAACTATTAGTACTATTAGTATTTCTTTACTTGGAAAGTTATCTTTCTTATCAGAGAGTCGATCCCCCTTAATTAAATGGTATATAGGTCATAACCCCTGGAGGTCAACCCCCCCCCCCCCCAATTGAAATGATCACAATATGACCTGCCTCAAAAAGGTGTCAATATATTATTTGACGTTATATTGATTACTTCACGGGGAGGACCCATGCATCCTTCTAGAATTAGAAATGAAAATCATTTTGTCCTGCTCCACATGATTTTTTTTATATTAAGAGAAAGTAATGGTTGTATATATTTGAACAATTGAGGGTGGGGTGGAATCTCTGATGATAAATGTTCAAGAATCCTAAAATTTGTTAATTTTACCTCGCTTCATAGTTGTCAAATTATGAATGGGCTACTACGAAAAATATCAGAGGAGAAAAGGGATCAAGGTTTTTGTAGAAAAAATCGCAATTCCCCCCCCCCCCCCCCCCCGTGTCAAAATGAAAATTTAGAAACCTGAGTGCACAACCACAGACACCACAAATTCCAAAAAAATGAATGGGCTACTGCAAAAAATGTAAGAGGAGTTCGGGGGGGGGGATGTATTTTGATCCGCAAGCCCCTTTCCCGGGTGAAAATGAAACTTCCAAAACCTTATTGTACATCTAGAGGACATTTGAAATAATATTCCAAAATGTGAACATGTTTACAAGGATGAACATGAAAATTTCCAAATCTTTTTGCACCTGTACAGGGCAACACCAATCATTCCAAAGGATGAGTTGGTGACTGCTTAAAATGGAACAGTTTGAGGAATAGGATAGTGTGACAGACGGAACAAGATAACAACAATATACCGGAATTTTCTTTGGAAAATATGGTAATATAAAAACATAAACAACTTGTCCAAACCTAAAACAACTAAATTGGGGGTGGAGGTGGGAGTGTAGGACAAGCCACTTTCCAAGTCAATTTTCTTCAGATACAACTCCAAAAATCCCATGGGGTTCTGGACCCCCTTTCTGGATCCGCGCATGTTTTTTTTTTTGGTTTTTGTTTTTTGTTTTGTTTTTGTTTTTTCATTTCAGGATAATTAAAGGACAAGTCGTTTTCCTTCATATCTGTGAGTTTCCATACCAATTTACTATGTGTCCTTGTTTTCCATGGAGGTCTAAGGTCATTCTTTGGCTATAAATTTGAAATCTTTAAAAATTTTCTAATTTTTCTGTATATTTATTAAAATACCTGCAAGATTCGTTTACGCATACTACTACCGTGTAAATGCCGAAAAATTAAACATAATAGTCTACGAAAGTAAACATGAATTTCAGTTGAAATTTGCTGTAAACCAAAGATTTGTTTGTGTACTCTTTATTTTAAAATTTACACTCTAA